ATGAAGCTCTTTCCGCCAGTATCCAAGCCTTAGTGGAGGTATTCTCTTTCGGAATGGAGGGGAGGGCATGCACAGAAGCTAGAACCCAACCAAATGATCCACAGTCAGGGAAAAGCATGGCGGTAGCAGAAGGTGACAGGGCCACAGGGCAACCCCGAATTTTTTATTCCTACTTTATCTGATGCCTAGGGAATGAGGGAAGTGATCAGTGGAGGTTAACCCATGACTATTTTTAGGGGGTAATGCTGTGTATGATCTGAAAGGAAAAAAGTCCCACAGTTAGACAGCACGTCTGTCTCAAGGAAGGCAGGGAATTGGTGGATTTTTTCCTTGCCTGTCTAAGCATGCATAAGATTGCAGCTTGGGGTGGCATGGAGGGCTTGTAGGTAGCCAGGTGGATTACAACACTTGTGAAGTACACAACTACCAATTCTCTTCCAGAGTGCCCACATCATGCTTCAAACTGGTTGGATCTTCCTGGCATATCTAGAAGGGCAGAACAGTCCAACAACTCTGCATTTTTAAAGGATTCTTCTAAGCATAGAATTATAGAATTGGAAGGGGCCAGAAGGCCATCGGGTCCAATCCCCTGCTCAGTCCAGGACACTGAGTTTGGTCTTGTATATTCGGTGTATTCAGTTTTGCATTAGAAATTTTCATGGGATGCAATCCTGTACACATTTGGACAGTTTCCATCATTTCCCAGCCAGCTGTTTATTAGTGTCTCCTCAGTTGTAAGCTGGACATGTGTGAGCAGGATCTACAGTGCAGAACTATTTTGCTTTGCTTTGCTTCGGTTTACCCCTTCCGGAAGCAGTGGGATCCTAGAGGCTTCTAATACAATACGTGCTGACAGATCGATTCGTCCCTGTGGGTCTAAAACAAAGGTTCGGCATCCGTGTCACGGCTCCAGGATTTTCACCTGCCGAGGTCATGTGTGTGTGGGGGGGGGGCGTGTTGCTCTAGCAATAGTAACAGCTGAGTGCAATTATGAGACAGATGGGGCAATGTCATACGGTGGAAGTTTGGAAAAGTCACCTAAAATCATGGCTTTCTTAAAATGGATTCGCCCCCTGTGGTTTGCTCTTGGCTTTGCTTTGCAAAGGACCGGCCTCATCCAGCTGCCGTGACTGGGCTCCGCAGGAAAGACTCGCCTCTCACCTGCCCACAGTCGCTTCCAGGCGCTCGGCACGACGGCAGCTGAAGCAGCCCCGCCGGCGGCTCCCGGTGCTCCACGCCTGGTGTTCACCCAGCCGGCCGGAGGCTGCGGCGGCGGCGGCGGCGGCGGCGGCGGCGGCGGGAGCAGCCGCCCTCTGCGCGGAGATCGGCCGAGGCCAGGCGAGGAGCGCCAGGCTGCCGCCACCGCCGGCTGACTGGAGAATCCCCTCCAGTCCAGCGGTTGGGAGCGGGAGTGGGCGGCGCTCCAGCGAGCGAGTTCCAGGCGGAGGGGGGCGGGGGAGGCAGGGAGCGCCGCAGCCTTCGCTCCCGAGCGCTGCAACTCCAAGTCAAGCCGCACTCTTTGCCTGGACATGTCTCGGGAAACTTGGATCTTCCCTCCGCGCGATCAAGTTTAAAAACCGGATGGGTTCAATCCGGCGGCAGGCGGCCCTCCGGCTCTGGAGAGAGGCGCTAGACTGCCCGGGCGCTGGAAGGCGCGGGGCAAAGTTGGTGTTTGATTTCGCGATGTGCATCGCTCTGCTTTGGGTCCAAGTCTGCTGGAATGGACTGAGACAAAAGGGGGGCTGGATCTAGGCGAGAGAGAGAGACACGTTGCACCCAGCTGGCCTGGTTGGTGAGTTTCATGCTTGGCTCCCCAGATTTCTTTTCCTTCCAGTTGCTTTTGAGTTACTTAGCCGAGGTCGTTTCCTTCATTAGTATTTTTTTTTAAAAGGAGGGGAGGAAATTAACATTCGGATATTTAATACGTGATCGTGCTTTTTAGTTGCAGGATCACAAGGATTCACAGATCCTTATCTCGATATCTTACGAATAAATAATAGCCGCTGCTGCAAGTTCCTACTCTCTCCAAGGGGAGAGAGAGAGAGAGAACGAGCTACAGCTATCTCGGATCAAAGCGTGTACGCTACAGAACCGCGATTTAAGGAGCCTTGTTTCAAAGATGCGCTACTGGGTTTTGCATTTATTGTCGAGTGTAACTTGTTTTAGAAATGGTGCCTTTGGGAAGGGGGGAGAAGAACTGGGGAATCAGAGAGGATGCCTTGTGGCGCAGCGCCCTCTAGCGGGCTGCGGCTCCTCGGGTTTCCTCTCGTCGCCGCTAGCCTGGCCCCGGTAACACGCCACTTGCCCGGAGAGCCGAAGAAACACGAGGACTGCCCCATTCATTGTCCTCTCGCTCCCTCTCCCTCTTCTTGGGGCCTTTCTGTTTTTTGTTTTGTTTTTTTTCGTAAGGTGAGCCGCGGCGCAGCCGTTTCTCAATTTCACTCGCTGTGCCTGTTGGGGTAGGGCCGGGGCGCGAGGGGAGGATGACTGGCGGGGAGAAATGGATTTAAATGGGGAGATTAGGCTTTGCTTGATCCAGAGTGAGTCCGCCACAGCTTTCGCAGTTACCACGCAAAAAGTTTTTTTTTTTTTAATGTGATCGGCGTAGGGAGGAGGAAATGAAATGTGGCGAGCCTAGCGGGGAGAGAATCTATTCGGATGATCCGCCTTATCTTTTGGGTCCCTTTTTCTCTGGCTTCCTTTCGCTAGCTTCCTTCCAAGCCATTAAGTTTCCCCGGGGCGGGAGCGGGGCGCGCGGCTGGGCTGGAAACCGGAACTACCTGGTCGTGATTAAGCCGGTTCAATTATTGGCGAGGGTCGATCCCGTCAAGGTGACCTGCCTGCCCTCTCACGCTCTTTTGATGCTGTTAAGGACAGCGCCGGGGGAGGGGAGATGCCGGTTTGGCGTAAACCTCACTGGACGGAGATTGATCGTAATCTGTAATGCCCTTCCGATTAACACTCGGTGTCTGGAGAGGTTTATTCCCAACCTGCTCGTGGCGTAACGGTGAATAGCGCGGAGTGAAACCAGGCTCTCCTCCTTTCCTTTCAATGATATTTATTGATCTGTTTGAACGGATTTGTAGCTACCTTATATTGTTGCAAATCAGACTTCAATCCTTACATCGGGATATTGACTTTTAAACCGGGTTAATTCTCATCCCACCGAGACGAACAACCCCGCGTCAATCATCCTCACGCGGAAGTAAATCCATCCAGTTCGATGGGATTTACTTCTGAGTAGACTCCCTTTGAATCGGGGTTCGGCTAATCCAAGCTACTGCTTATCCGTCCGTTTCGTTCCTTTGAAGGGAATAGGACCAAATTAGCTTGACGCCAAGCATTTGTGGGTGATGGTTAGTGCTTAAATTCATTAGAGAAATTTAGCATCCAAAAAGTTGGATGAAGATGTTGAGCTGACCATAAGTCGAGACACATTTCTGCGTATCGACTACGCGATCCTAGGTATGTCTACTCAGGAGTAAGTTCGCTGAGTTCAGTGAGACTTACTCTTAAGTAAGCCGGCCGTATAGAATTGCACTTGCACTCCTATACATCCTTGCGTGAAGTAACGCCCACTGAGCACAGTGCAGCTAATTTCCGAATCCGTGCGCAGCATGTCGCTGCCAGAGGCTTTTAGGGAGTGATTTGAGCCGGGCGTGTTTGCGGCCTCGTACATGAACAGGTGGGCTCCAGGTGTGAGCATGAGCGGCAGTAGGTTGCCGATTTTCACGCGACACTTTAAAAAAAGTCCATTCCCCCAGCTCGAGCGCCCCCCCCCCCGTCGTGTTTTTAGTGGGCTGAAAAGCAGCAACGAGTAGATTGTCCGGGCAAGTCCTCGAAAGGCGTGCAATCTGGATTGCTAGACCTGGCTCTCTCTTTAAATACTGAAACTCCCAAATGGAATCCCAAAATCCATCCCCTTGTCCCGGAGTTTTCTCCCTCCCCCAGGAAAAGACCACCCCTTCTCCCCCCTCTCCTTTTGGAGAATCCCATCTGGAGTTTAGTCTCTCAGAATAAGGCAGCCATGCATTTGGGTCTCTACTCCTGGGAAATCCCTGCTCTTAAGCGTAAGTAGTTAAGCTTTGAAGCTCTTGGACTACCTCAGTCATTTTCTCGCTAGCAGGAGCTTGAATTTAAAATGGGCGGAGAAAATCTCCATATGAATAGCTCCAGTAGCATGTATCTTGTGCGTACTTGTAGAAAACGCAAACGGAGCGATCCTGCGTACAGGTTGGTGCGCGCAGGAGTTAAGTTTAGGCGCTCTGCGCAGGATCACGTTGCAAGTCATATGCAAATCAGGAGAACTTACTTCTGAATAAGTGTTTAGTGGGTGTGGCTTCCTGCAGGTAAACTGTTTCGAGTTGGTTTCAACTGGAGTATGACGGCTTCATTTGGTTGAAGATCGCCCAGTCGAAACACAGTGGAGGCAAGGAGCTAGGTGGACTTATTCATGTTTAGAAATGCACTGTAAATAGCCGGATCCTGTTCTCCGAATCCAGTGAAGCTTATTCCCAAATAAATGTGCAATAGGTTTGGGGCGTTAGGGTTATCGAGGGCTACTCTACCTTAAGTTTAATTCATTTCAGTGGGTCTACTCTAAGTAGGACTAGCATTGGCTTCAACCCTTGGGCTGCAACGAGGTACCTGCACATTCAAGTGAACTCAGTGGGGCTTACGTGTGAGTAGACATGGCCCTGTTAATTGATCATCTTTGGTGAGGAACCATGATGTTCTTGGAGAAGTTTGTAGATCTCCACAGTATTCTCTGGAGGATTTTTTTAAAAAAACAGTTATAAATAGCTCCTTTAATTCAAAATACATAACTGCATCCAGAGCTTTCCGGGCCTCCCAAGTAGGGATGCTCCCCCCCCCCCCCGTTCCTGGCCGTTTCCCGTCTTTAATTTCTGGTTGGGTAATGAGGAGCTTGGGAGGCAACTGTCCTTTAGGGCGCGCCTCGGAGCCCCGTGGTAACGCAGGAGTTTTGCAGCAGGAGAGCTCCGCTAGCGCAGCCCCGTCCGCGCAGGACGATTTATGACGCTCCCGAGCGGTGTGGCGGGGAAGTGGAGTGTGAAAAGCCCCGGAGGAGGCGAAGCTGTGGTTGGCGGAGGCTTCCTTTTAAGGGCTTGCGGCACAATCAGCAAACTGGAAAGCAATTACAGGCTTGCAAACGGGATGAGACGCGTTCAAAAGGCGAGAGGCAATAATTCTCCAGGAGAGCTCGGGCGGCGGGAAGCAACAAAGTTTGAGAAGCGAGGGGAAGGGTATCCTTTGATTTTTTTTCCCTCTAAAAAAAGGAAAGAATAAAAGCTTCCTTGTTCTCACACTTTCTTGACTGACATCGTCGACCTCATGAACTGAAGTCCAAACATTCAACCCTCTAAGGAAAGGATTAAGTCGAGAGTTCACCCGCCCGCGGTAACACTCCACTTAGGGAAGCAGCCTTGTGAACGCTCTTACGCAGGAGTAAGCCCATCTTTACCTTACGTCCCATTCATTTCAATAGGACTACTTGAAGTAGGAGAGACATTGGCCTCCCCCCATTCTGGGACCGTTCACCTGGAGGCAAGCCCGCCACGCGGTGGGCGCTCTCGAAGGTAAACGCGCGTGTCCGTCGCAAAGCTCCACCGATGTGCTCTCCCGGTGAGTGCGTGGACGGGAAGTTCCGCGCTCTTCCTCGGAGGAGGACTCGGCGGCCTTTAGCCGCGAGCAAAGGCGCTCCGTGCATCCAGCTTCGCCTTAAGTCCTCTTTCATTTCCCTCTCCGGCCTGGCCGTTTGATCACGGCTGCCGCCGCCGCCGCCGCCCGCCAGCTTCGTTCCCTCCTCAGAAGGAAAGACAGTGGCGCGTTTGATCCCGATGAGGGTTATAATCACCGCGGAGCCGCTGCGAAGTGTGGTCTGGATTCCTTCTTTCGTGCCAGAGAAATGAGTTCCGGAGGAGGTTTGGAGGCGGCGGCGGCGGCGGCCCCCGCGCCGGCGGAGGAATCCGGGCAGGAGAGCGCGTGTGCGGCGCAGCGCAAGCGAAGGGGCGAGCGCGGCGCGGGCGGCAGTCACCATGCGGCTTGGGGAGCGCAGGCTGCCCCTTCCTCCGCCTCCGCCTCCGCCGCTGGGGAAGCCGCCCCCTCCCCCGGGCAGCCGTTGAAGGCGCGGCGAAGGTGAGAGCGGCGAGCGCGGACTCGCTTCCCGTGGCTGCGGGTCTGGGGGCAACTTGGCGGAGAGGCAAAGTTTGGGGAGTGGGGGCGCCGCTGGCCGCGAATCGGCGCAAGACCGGCTGCTGTTCCTGTGGGTGGGTGCCAGGGTGGGGGAGAGAAACCCAGGACGATCCGGCTTTGCAACTTGGGGAGGAGTTCTATCCAAAGGAGAGCGTCCCTGTTTCCCACCCAAGGTGGGCACGGGGTGGGTCGATTTGGAAGTAGAGTCAATATTTTCCTTCCATGGCCCCATCTGGCTTTGCCCCTCCCCAAAAAGCCCCGGGCTGTGTGCCGGGGGAGGGGGGTGGACGACTAAGAACGTGAGCAGAATAGAAAACCTGGTGCCGGGGCTGCTACTGCAACAGGAGGTCGGTGCAAAGCCATTGTCCCGCCATGAGCCGCGCAACACACGGCAAGCCGTGCTGGGAATCGAAGAGGGTGCTGCAGGAGTCTGCAGAGGGGCTTTCGCCAGGAGAGGTTGCTGGAAAATTTGATGGGTGGGCGGGCACAGTGGCATCATGTCCGAAGAGTGTAGTGTACCCTCAAAATGCAATACAGGTCTGCGTGCTAAAAATTCCCAGCCTTGATTCCAGGACAGCCCCTGCTTGAAGAGGGGAAGGTGAGATGGATTTTCCAATTACTTTTATCTGGATTTATCAAGACTCTGCCCTCTTTCTGAATGAAAGTAAGAAATGCACCGGATTCCTCTTTCCCAGCATGAAACCCGTTTGTTACCTGCTTGAGTAGGTGACAAATGACAGGAAGCCAAGAATAATTTCCTTTTTCTTTGTTAGTAGTACTTGGAAATGAGAGAGCACTTCACCGTGGAGAGTGTGTGTGTTTGTGCCAGCTAGAATTGTCTTGAGGAAGAGAAAGAAGTAACTGATACTGTATCCTAAGGGAAAGGTGTGCATAAGTTCTTCCTGTGAATGATGTATGTAATGTCGAAATCTAAACTTAATAACCATAAACTAAGAATTGCTTACTGTGAATCATTTCATGCTTACCACTGTCTTGAGATATAATCCAGTCCTAGTTAAGCATCTCAACTCCCCTGTTTCCAAAAGAAAGGTTAAGTCAATGCTTAACATTACAATCCTAAGAATATCTAGTGAGACTGCTCTTGAATTCCATGGTAACTACTTACTCCCAAGTAGTTGTGCATATAATTGCAGTCTGAAACTTCCGCGAAGGTACGCTCCTCCTGCACCCAGCTGCTGGATCCGAACAGCAGTGGGCAGCCAGATCCCATTAGGACTTTAACAGGACATAGTTCAAAGTGCCTAATTTCAGCAAGAATTGTACCCTTGATCTTTCTCTCCCCTCCACCCCTTTGGCAGTTTCTGCAGTAGGTTGACCCTTACACTCTTTTGAAGGATAAAGACCAGACTGTTCAGAAAGAAAGAACTCGGCAGTGACTATTTCAGGCTGCAATCCTATACACATTTACCAGAGAGTAAATGTCAGTGGGACTTACTTCAGAGTAGCTTGTACAGGATAGCATTGTTTACATATAATGGTAAATTGTATCTGTTTTCTTACCTCAGTCTGTTCCTCTTACATGAGAGCCTGTGAAGCTTTGCAAACATCAAACAAAACCAAGCAAACAAGAGAGGTTCACTTTCATCTTTGTGTGCCTCTGTTGATTCTGGATGGAAGAAGTGACTTTATTGATTCCCTTAAAAGTTGTACAAAACCATGGTTATTCACAGGAAATAAGGATGCTATCAAATTACTCTACAATTCTCAACAGCCTGATTCATGAATTAGTTCAACCAGACTTTATTCTATCAATAAAATTAAGGCTTTGATCATATTTACTCTTCACTGGGAATGAGTCCAAGTGAACTCAAGGACAGTTCTAGCACATCATGATAGACCAGGCCATCTTAACTATGTGTATTTTCCACATTTATACACTGTAAAAAATGCTGCCTCAGGGTTTTGCACCTTCACTTCATTTTTTTCCTTAGATGATTTCAAATATACTTTGAAAAACTTTCAGTCAGTTAGGAATTAAACCAGGCCTATAGGAAGGGAAGACAAAGAAGCTATCATACATTAATAGGTCTGCTTACTAGCTTCGCACTTACTGAAGAATAAACTCCATTGAATATACTCTTTGAATGAGCATTAATAAGAAGGTGCTGCTGATTCAGTCAATATTTTCTTTGTTACATTGGAACCAGAAGTTGCGGTTTAAAATAAAAGCTGGTCAATTTAAAAGCGACCCAACTTCAAATCTTGGATTATTTTGCTGGTTTATTTAACTAACCAAAGTTGGTTTTAAACCACCATCTCTGGTTTGAATGCAGTACTGAGTGAGCTCTGTCCTTTGTAAAAGGAAATTAAGCTTAGGAACAGTAGTCAATCTGCTTGCGCAGGAGAAAGAGGGTGGAGGGAATGAGTCTGAAGGCATTGCTTGGGCTTATCTCAGCGCATGCAGGTAGTGCTAAATATTGGTTTGCTTACTCATGCTCTGCTTTCATTGCTTTGAATACTTTCTGTTTTGCCTGTGGAATTGATGCTGTACAGTACTGTTGGATTTTGCACTGGCATAGATCTTTGTAGTCAGCAGTTTAGCATAGATATTGGTAAAAGCATATTTAACTTGGGACTTTCCTGGTGCTCTTTGTTGGGCATCATCCTTGGAGTGTTATGCTAGTGCCCTCCAAATGTGCTGGAGTGCAATTCCCATAATTTCCAGCCAGCATGGCCTTTAACCAGTGATGGAAGTTGTAGCCCAGCACACGAAGAATATTGGTTCAGGAAGGGTACATGGGGAGTAATTCCCATCCAGGATCAGCATCTCTGATTTCAACTGCAGTGGGATCAAGTGCTTAACAACAAGCTCTTAGAAAGAGCCAACCAAATTCTCTCTGTATGCAAAACTGAAAAGATGCTGGCAAAACACTTCTGTAATGTGGTTACCTGCCCCCTGGTCAGCTTCTAGTTAGTAACTTTTTTGCATGACCCTTTACCACAGTCTGTTGGCCTTACAGATTGTCCTTAATTTTACAACAGCTGATGTACAGGCAGTCTATGAGTGATGAACATCTGAGTTATGAACCCTCTATACTTACAAACAAACTTCCACAAAGCCTCGTAATTAAAAAAAAAAAAAAAGACTGCAGAAAATCATTGCCACCATAGGGAGAGAGGGAGGCCTTTGAAGTATGCCTTCCTGCCCAACCCATCCAGAGAGGGAAATCTCTAGCACTTCCTTGCTTCAAAGAGAAGGCACTGGTGGCGGGGGGGGGGGGGGGAGAGAGATTTGCACTTTTTCCACTTTCTTGGGGGCCTGTGTCCCTAACCCCCACAAATGTGGGGGGCTGGCTACATGATCCAACTTTACATACTAATTAAAGACAAATGTCCACTTTCTCAGGCACAGAACTCTTATAACCTAGAGACTTCCTGTATTTAGATTATCTAGCAATTTAGGTTGATGAATTCACCTGATTATAGCTATGTAAATTAGATAAATAGGGGGCGTTTGTGTGAACAACTTGAAGGTGCGAGCTGTTTAGGCAACTAGTATTTTGCAGGCATGTAGAAGAAATGGAGAATTAGAGTTCGGAGAGTAGCAGGATGTCAGGCAGGTAAATATCATTTGAGCTTCCCACTCCAGTTCTTGACCACCAGCCTGTTACTTAGGAAGTGAGGAAGTTAGCAAGGATGGGCAACTTGGGGCCTTATAGAACTTGCTGGATTGCAACTTGCCATAGTCTGCTGGTTTGGACTGGTCAGAGTTGCAGATCTGCAAATTGCCCACTTTATTTTGATATCTCACTTTCTTGTTTATTTCTTAAGCCATGTTTCCTTTTTTAAAAAGAAAAGAGAAAATAAGTGTCCTTAGCCTATTGCTCTAGTCTTGGCTTAGGCTGTTGAACAATCAGGTTAACTTGTGGTTAACCTGGATGTTACTCATGCACATTTAATTAATTTCTAGGGAAATACCATGCTCCTCAGAGACAGATTAAACTGTGCAAGCAGAAACTTTTGGATTGTAGAGTGCATTTTTGACCATATATAGATAACCAGTTTAGTTATGCAGTGACAGTGCCCATCAGTTGGAATCTCTGTTTTCAGTAGTTGAGATTTAGCTATAGAGTTTCCATCACAACGTATCTTCATCTGCAACCGCATGTTGCTTTATCTTGCAATTCAGTTGGAGCAAAAAGCCAAAGTTCACTTGTGCTGAAAATGGATGCTTTAAGCATTGCACTCTAGCCAGATAAATGTGCAGTGTGTAGAAGCACATCTTATGGGCTTAGTACACTCAGTACATTAGTGTGAGTTTTAGAAGCTAACCATGTCTTTGCTATATCATGCAAAAGGTATAGACTGTCATATAATGCACTGTGTTATTCAGAGACTTCTAGTGGGAAATTTTTAAGACAAATCATCTGCCCTCAAAAAGCTTATGAACATTTAGTTTGAATCCAAGAAGTGAATATTTTAATTCATTAAATAGGCAGGAGTTGCTTTTGTCATTACAGCACAGTGCTTTGAGACTAGCTTAGGAATTAATACATTTGCAATGGAAAGAAGCAGTAAAGCTCTAGTTAATATTAATAGGAAAAATTCTCTTCATGGTGAAAATTTTTTAAAATCATATTCATCATAAGAGATAAAATAACAATGTTCAGGACACTCGCCACCTCACATGCGCACCTGTAGTGACTTGGAATTATAGAAAGTGCTCCCTCCGCAGGCAAAATGCTTGACATCAGTTTGTTGGGAGGAAGATTTTAGGAGATATTTAAAGAAGCAAGATGTTACAAAGGATGGGTCCTTTTATAAATTTGTATACCATCCTTCAGCCATGTTCTGCAGTGGTATATTTTGCTGGGGAAGCACCGATTGCTTTTTTTCAGCATTATATACCGGTCATTAGATCTAGAGTTGGGTCTGTGTATAGTTGGAAAGCTGGTGGGACTGTGACATTGAAGCTAGACACAAAGGGAGAATCTTGCTAAAGTATTGCTTGCACAAACAGTGCACAAAGGGAGAATCTTGCTAAAGTATTGCTTGCACAAACAGTGCACAAAGGGAGAATCTTGCTAAAGTATTGCTTGCACAAGTGGTTGCACAACCACTGCCACAACTGGGCTGTGTTTCATGAGCACATGCTTTGCAAATGCAGCCTGCTAGTATTTCTGCAGTTGGAAGGTTCTGCGGAGCTCTGCCAGCACTACTTTGTTTTACAGATCAACAGCACTGGAAACTTCTCCAAGTCTTCTGGGTGCTTCACAAAATTTTGAATAAAACACTAGATGTTAAATGTCAAATAGATGAAAAGATCCATGATAGCATACATTTGAAAAAACAAGACAGACTTCCTTAAACTGGGGCCCTACAGATTTTTTGGACTATAGCTGCCGTTAACCCCAGACAGCATGGATGTCCAGGATGGTGGGAGTTGTAGCCAAAAATATCTGGAAGATACCAGTTTGAAGAAGGCTGTTTCAGTTGGTCATAGTCTGTCTTAATAAAACAAGTTGTATACAGGTGTCTGCCACGCTAGTTCTCTGTGTTGTCTGTCATCAACACCGAGGTATCACCTTCCTTAAACTTGGAGTGCCGTTTCAGGTCTGACTCCCCACTTTCTCTCCAGCTGGAAGATGATGTGATCAGAAGGGAGCCATCTTCCCAGAGGCCTCAAAAGCCCAAGCTGACTTTGTAACTGCTCTCTAATTTCCCTTTTCTTATCCAAGCTTGAAGCTTGTCAGGGTAGCACAACACAGTGATTTTGGGAAGCACAGTACAGAGTCCCAGAGATGACCTGGCTTCTTACAGGGACACAGTTGTCACGATCACAAATGTTTGGTAGGCTTCCCAGGCTGGTTAAAACAGGAGCATTCCTTCTTTGGGGAACTTTACTAGGATGGGAACCCATGGCAGTTGCATCGAAACACTTAGCAACATAGAAACATAGCAAATCAGAAAAGGTCTCCTGGGACATCTGGTCTGATCCCCAGTGCAAGCTGGCTCCGCTCATATAATGTCCAACATGTGGGTGAGCAATCTTACATGGCTTAATCATAGCACACCACAGATAAATTATTTTCACTTCATAAGAGAACGATTTAAGATACAGTTTTGCATAACTTTTGAAGAACGGGCGTTAGAAACCCTTGACTAATATTCCTGTTTTTGTTTCAGATTTTGGGAAATCGCCTCCATGGAGAGCCATTTGCTGCTGTTCCTGCTGCTTGTGCAGCATTTTGGAAACTGTGAAGGAAATCCAAGACAGTATCGCACGGTGCCAATGCAGTTCACTCAAGTTCATTACAATGCCACAGTGTATGAAAACTCTGCAGTTAAGACTTACGTTGGGCATCCTGTAAAAATGGGCATTTATATTGGAAACTCCCTCTGGGATATAAAGTACAAAATAATTTCTGGGGACAGTGAGAACATGTTCAAAGCTGAAGAGTATATTTTGGGTGATTTTTGTTTCTTACGAATACGAACCAAGGGAGGGAACACAGCTATACTTAACAGAGAAGTAAAAGACAATTACTTACTAACTGTCAAAGCAATAGAGAAGAACACTAATGCGGAAGCTCGCACAAAAGTCAGAGTGCAAGTACTGGATACAAATGACTTAAGGCCTTTGTTCTCTCCGACATCCTACAGTGTTTCATTGCCTGAGAACACAGCAATAAGGACCAGCATTGCAAGAGTCAGTGCGACGGATGCAGATATAGGAACAAATGGGGAGTTTTATTACAGCTTTAAAGAGAGGACGGATATGTTTGCTATACATCCAACAAGCGGTGTGGTTGTTCTGACAGGCAGACTTGACTATTCGGAAATCAAAGTTTATGAGATGGAGATCCTGGCTGTGGATCGTGGAATGAAGTTGTATGGCAGCAGCGGGATCAGCAGCATGGCGAGACTGACTGTCCATATAGAGCAGGCTAACGAACACGCTCCGGTTATCACAGCCCTTGCTTTGGCTCCTTCAGAGGAGGACGAGGATCCAGAATACGCAGTTGTGACTGTTGAGGACAGGGACCATGGTGCCAATGGAGAGGTGGCATCCCTAAGCATTGTGGCAGGCGATCCACTTCAGCAGTTCAAAGCTGTGAGGACTTTTCCAGGAGGGAAAGAATATAAAATCAAAGCTGTTGGCAGTATTGATTGGGAGAGCCGGCCATCTGGCTATAATCTTACTGTGCAGGCTAAAGATAAAGGAAATCCTCCAAAGTTTTCTTCTCCAAAAGTAATTCATGTGGCATCTCCCCAGTTTAGGTCTGGTCCAGTCAGATTCGAAAGAGATATTTACAGAGTAGAAATAAGTGAATTTGCTCCCCCAAACACTCCTGTGGTTATGGTAAAAGCTTTGCATCCTAATTCCCATTTCAAATATATTTTTAAAAATGCACCAGATGAAATCAGATTCAACTTGAACCCTCACACTGGCCTCATTACTACGCTAGATCCCATAAAAGCACACCATGCATCTCAGTTTGAATTTGACATCATGACAAGTGACAGAAAAGCATCTACGAAAGTATTGGTTAAAGTCCTCGATGAGAATACACATTCCCCTGAATTCACTCAGACATCTTACAAAGCTTCATTTGATGAGAATGTTCCTGTAGGTACGAGTGTCATGAGCGTGAGTGCAAAAGATCTGGATGAAGGTGAAAGTGGCTACATAACATACAGTATTGCAAACATAAACTCTGTTCCTTTTGTGATAAACCATTTCACTGGTGTTATCAGTACTGCTGAAAACATGGATTATGAATTGATGCCCAGGATATATAAATTAAGAATTCGAGCATCAGACTGGGGCACGCCATATCGCCGAGAAGTTGAAGTCCCTGTTACTATAGTTTTAAATAATTTGAATGATAACACTCCATTATTTGAGAAAATAAATTGTGTGGGAACAATTCCAAGGGAACTTAGTGTTGGAGAACAAATAACAACTGTGTCTGCTATTGATGCTGATGAGCTCCAGTTGGTGCAGTACCAAATTGTATCGGGAAATGAATTAGATTTGTTTAGTTTAAATCCAAATTCTGGAGTGCTTTCCCTGAAACAGTCATTAGGAGATGGCTTAGGTGTAAAAGCATCTTTTCATAGCTTGAGAATAACAGCTACAGATGGCGAGAACTTTGCAATACCCTTGTATATTAACATTACCGTAGTTGCCAGCCACAAACCAGTAAATTTACAGTGTGAAGAGACTGGTGTAGCCAAAATGCTGGCAGAGAAGCTCCTGCAGGCAAATAAACTGCATGGTCGTGGTGAAGTTGAAGACACTGTTTTTGACACTCACTCTGTGAATCTGCATGCCCCCCAGTTTGGAAATAGTCTTCCGAGTAGCACTGAAGTAAAAGAAGATCAGCTTGTAGGTGCCAGCCTCCTTCTTGTGAATGCTACTGACCTTGACACTGGGTTCAATGGAAAGCTAGTCTATGCTATCTCTGGAGGTAATGATGATAGCAGTTTTCTCATTGGTATGGAAACAGGAATTGTAAAAATCTTATCTCCCCTTGACCGAGAAAGAAAAGATAAATATACATTGAATATTACAGTTTATGACCTGGGAATACCACAGAAGTCTGCCTGGTGTCTTTTAGATGTCAGAGTTCTAGATGCCAATGACAATTCTCCAGAGTTTTTACAGGATAGCTATTTTGTTGATGTGAATGAAAACAAGGAGCTAAACACAGAAATAATTCAAGTAGGTGCTACGGACAAAGATTTAGGGACTAATGGGGAAGTGCGGTATTCATTTCTTACAGATACAGATAAATTTTCTATTGATAGTGTGACGGGTATTGTGAAGGTTGTAGGACCTTTGGATCGTGAAGAGCAACCTGTGCATTTCCTGAAAATAATGGCTAGGGACCAAGCTAAAGAAGAATCACAACTATCCTCAACTGTACTACTGAAAGTATCCTTGGAAGATGTCAATGATAATCCTCCTAAATTTATACCATCAAATTACCGTGTGAAAATTCGGGAAGACCTTCCAGAAGGAACCATTATCACATGGCTTGAAGCACATGATCCTGACTTGGGCCAGTCAAGCCAAGTGCGATACAGCCTTTTAGATGGCGGGGATGGAAGCTTTGATGTCGATAAGCTCAGTGGAGCAATTCGTCTTGTACGAGGACTGGATTTTGAGAAGAAGCAAGTTTACAACCTAACAGTGCGGGCCAAAGATAAAGGAAAACCCATTTCATTGTCATCTACCTGTTATGTTGAGATTGAAGTAGTTGATGTAAATGAAAATCTGTTCGCTCCCCATTTTCCTAACTTTGTGGATAAAGGTTTTGTAAATGAAGATGTTCCTATTGGTACTCTAGTAATGTCTGTGTCTGCTTCTGATGCGGATGCAGGAAGAGATGGCAAGATCAAATACTCAATAAGGGATGGATCTGGTGTCGGAATTTTCCGAATAGATGAAGATAAAGGTAAGAATCTGATCGATTATTCTGTATTACTGATTATGAATTCAAATAGAAGACATAAATATATAAACATGCATGTATTTAAAACTTCAAGTATGACTTGTATGCAGTGCCTTATAGCATTCAAAGTTTCTAAAATGAGTGAATGGGGTACTTCACAAGAACTAAATTACAAAGTTTTAGTCTCCCAGTGAGAGAGTGCTTTGCAAATGCAAATGGGGGTAGAACAACTTGTATGGATGCATCCCCCCCTTTCCAGAAAAAGGTTGAAATAGAATCTACGATTAAATAAAAGAATTGAAAATATAGTCATAAAAGGCTGTGGGTGTTAAGGAACCCTAAAAGCAGTAAGTTTCTAAGAAGGCTGTGGTATGTTAATTGCCAGAGGAAAGGCATTGTGCTTTCCATAGGATCATGTATGGGCAGGGTATGCAGTTTGTTGACTCAAGCCATTGCAGGACAACAATTTAGCCAGCACAGCCAATGGTAAAGGATCATGGGGATCAAAGGCTTTAATCTCTGGAGGGTCACAAATTGTCCTTAAGATGTGATTAATGAAGCCCTGGCCTTGGCTTTTGGTCAGTGCCATCTGTGAGTTGGAAGGTAAATAGCCCTGTTCTTTGGTAGGTAGATTTATGCATATTACAGCAGGACTACTTTTTATGATTCTGTTTGAGATATGGAATCATCATTAGCTATAAAATGGCTAAAAGTTTACCCGGGTGGAAGAACGGATGTCACTTGCCAATCCCTGAAACCCAGCATCAAACCATAACATAAATGCATTAACTACTGTGCTATACGGCGACAGGCAAAGACATTTTCTGAAGAGTTCTAACTTTACAGTGGAAAGCAAACTTTCACAAGAGGGTCATTCATCAAGTCCAGTCTGAAGATACTGGTCTAGATTCTGTCTTGCTTTTCTGCTGGTGAAGAGAGGAAGACACATTTCGTCTTCTTGCTGTAGCCCCTGCAGTGTCTTTTATACCGTTCCTAAGGGTTGCCAGCTGTTGACTTTCTGGTGAAAGGGGCTGCAGAGGGAAGTGGCAGTAGGAAATAACAAGCTGTCCCAGTTCTGAAAGGGAAGTAGCCATGTAACCATGAGGGCTGAACACCTTTTAGGCCAGGATGTCAGGAGCCTCAACCTGCAAAAAGGCCAGATTGCAGCAAGAGGGCTAATATTTCAAGGGTCTGGCAGTGTCGGGAAGAGCTTGGTTAGCCTTTCACTCCCTAGCAGCCTTCCTCTCCTGAAAGTTCCCCCATCATTCTGCAACATATCCATTGCAACCACTGGGTGCTTTTAAAAAATACTTGAATGTGAAGGGGGGGTATTAGTGTTGGCAAAGGCTGGTTTAACTCTTCCCGACCCAGTAATTAGGTTTGGAAGCAAAAAACAGTGATGCTACAGAAGTCTTAATGCAGGGTAGGCAGGGAGCAGGAAGACTGTTACATCCTGTCTATCATTGGAAAGAATGTTATTGAGAAGATGGTCTGCTGGATGGGAGCCTTTTGCAGACAGCGGGCTGTGCATTTCCTGTCCCTGAGCTAAGCTTTTATGTTTGCACTCTATTTAATTTTCATTTCAAACCCTTATTATACTTTTAAAAGGATGGTTATTTAAATAAATATTTAAAACATAGATATGCACCTGTCCTGTGTATAGTGGACAGGTGTAGCTCTGTAGATCTCATTTCAGTGCTACTTACCTTCTGGGGATGTAAGATGGAGTAGCTGGATGGAATTGCAGCAGCTTTTGTAGTTTCTTAAAATACAGCCTTGTTTGAGTATAGAACAGTTGGCATCAAATCCAGTGCCAGCTTTTTGACATACATTTCCAAGTGTCCAGAGAATTCCCAGTCTCTTAAATATATGACCTTAGGAATGCATGTTCCATAGCAGTCAAATGACTCATCTCCAGGAAGGTATAGTTAGAGATTTCTTTGTGTTCCATTACTTCCTTCACACCTACACATTAAGCTACTGATCTATGATGGCTATGAGCTAAGAGCTATTTGAATAGGCCCGGGTCCAGATGTCTGGATCTTGGTAGCACAGGCAGGTTTGGTATTGTTGGATGATTTTGGAGATGTAGTTCTCTGAAGCTGAAGAAGTAAAATTCTTGGCAGAAATATCCATTCTGTTTCTTGTTAATTTTGAATTGGGTTATGTTGAAGATTTTGACTGTGGTCTTAATTTGCCTCACTGAGGATAGATTCTACTGGAAATGGTAAAAGAGATAGTAAATTCTGATGTTTGACATCCATTAGATAATGTATACATTTCTTGAGGTGGCATATACATACTTGTCCATAATTAACATTTGAAAGAACTAAATGCCACTTATGTAATTGTATTTTTAAATCTATTATACAAAACAGTTCATGTTCTTTTTTTAAAACAGTCCCAAGAGTTGTAATTAGGCCTCTCAGCTTTTACCTTCCAAATTGCATGTGTTTTATCAAATGAACTTGTCAAGGTTACAAAGCAAAACTTTAAAAATGTAATCAAATTAAGGGTGTACTGCTATGTTTGTTTAGACAGAAAAAAGGTCCTTACAAAGTAGTGAATTCTGGGAGGACAAAGGCAAACTTTGTTTTACCAGCTGATCCTGTTCATCCTATGGCAAGGCACACCTTTGCAATACGAAGAGAGGTAAAAGCTTTGTTTCTGGATTAGAAAGAGCTGGTGTCCGAAATGTGTGTGTTTGTGTGCAGTGACAAAAGTGGGGACAAAACTGCCATTTTCTTTTTGCTAGCAGAAAACTCTTTGCATTAGCAGTAACAGTGTTCCTACCAATGACCACTGTTTATGTTCCAGAATACAGAAGAAAAATCTACGTGTGAAAACCCAAGATATAGTAATTACATGGAAATGTGTCCCATCAAACACAACAGGATTAATTCTTGAGCAAAGGTGCATAGGATTGTGCTATAAAACATATGATTTAGAAAGATGAATGATTTTACTGAAACATGTTTCCCTGTAATGAAAATTCACACTCTAATTCTGAATTAAAGTGTGGTGCATGTAATATGTGTTAGAGCTGTGAAATAAGCCACTTCCATCCAAAATGATAGTCAGAATTCTGGAGAATCCTGGCTCTTTGCTTTTTCATGTGCAAACACACTAGTTTACATTGTTGTATTGCTCCCACTTGGTTCAATCCAATAGGAACTCCCTCAGGAATCCTCCACCCACCCCCCCCCAAAAAAAAGGATTGGCAGTATATCAGAAACCAATTCTGTGTGTACTATTCCAGAATAAGCCACGGATCTGCGCAAAACCTGGTTTCAGATTCTGGGCCGTTAGAAAAGCAACAAACCTGGACTCATGGTACAGATTTAATGCTAAGCTTTTTCTTCCTGGAGAGTTCTCACTGTCAGCAGGAACCAAGTGGGCGTGATCAGGCAGCCTCTGCCAGCATATTTGCATGTGCCTGGTAAATGAGGATTTTGTGAAATTCTGACTTGTTTTGTGCAAACATGGCCATAGACTTCCACCTAATTGCATTTGTCCTCTCTAGGTTTGAAGAACTGCCTGTTCTGTGCTGTGTACACAGTTTGGGAAGGAAACTGTGTGACTAACTTGTGCAGGGGTTGTGGGAAAATTTCTAGAGAGCTTTGCACAACAAATGCTATGATACAGAAGTTACCAGCCAATATAGTGGAATCACTGGATACAAAATGTAGTAAAATGCTTAAATATAAACATGCAAGGGTTTTGGTAATGCCATCACTACAAGTTTGCCGTTTCCATGCTGGTTTTGCCAAATGCACTTAAATGAGCAGCATGTGATCTTTCTTCTGAAACAAAACACTCAAAAAATTGAATCAAGTTTGAAGAAGTCCCTTTTTCTAAAGCAAGCACATATCAACACCTTTGCTCTAACTGAACAAACAAATGTGCATAGCAGAGCTAGTCACCAGTTGAGCACATGTGGAATCGGAAATGAAAGATTGATTTGGATTCCCCAGTGAAGCTTTTCAGCCTTTTCTCCATAATTGCACCTTTCTCTGCATCACACCTCACTTGCTAGGCACGTGGGCATTTTCTGAGTAGTTTTGTTTTTACTTTGCTTCAAGTGTATGCTATTACCTTAGGCTGCTGTGGGAACATTGCAAGCTCTTCCTTGTCTGTCCTCAGTGGTGCAATTCCAGCTTCTGTTCCAAAGCTGAAAAAGATTAGCTTGTCTGGGAACCCAATCCATGCATAGGCTCCAAGATAACTTTCCTTCCTTCTCTGGACCCAGTCAGGATCTGCCCCATGAATTTATTTATGCTTTGTTCATTAGCTTTATTTTACACTAGAACTTGTATGTTTGGGATCCCCAACTCGAATTGGGGGAATAGCTGAAGCTTTTGGTGAGACCACGAGGGCAAGTCTTGTCAGTAGGGGACCATCATTGAGCATTTGTTTTTGCTCACTTCTTATATGTACATTAGCTTCCAGCTTGCTGAAGCCATGAGCCAGTGGCTCGAGCTGAAGGGTAGGAGCTAAAGAACTGTTCCCATGTGTTTCAGCTACTGGGGATGCCATGCAACTACCCCCACCAATACTGAGGAAATTGAAATTAGGTCCTTGGTAGGGGATTTGTTCCCACTGTGGGGCCTGGCTATGTGCCTGAGAGGATATGGGTCAAGTGGAGAAATCTTGAAGGAGCTACATCAGTGTAGTGATGGGAAAAGGAGATATGGTATTGGAAGGAGGGCTGGCTAGGTCAAGCGAACATGGCCTAGATTGTATCTGTAGGTTTGATGGTTGCCGTGTCAGCCTGCCGGTAAGTAAATGCCAGATAGGTGCAGAACAAGTCTTCTCTTTCATGATGTAATAATGGATGAGGCAGCTTATCAGACACATATAACCAAGGCTTGGGTGGATGAGCAGAGAGAGAGGCTAGGTTCTCCCAGTTGTGCCCAGCAGGGTACTTGGTTCAGCGTCAGGGTAGACTTGAAGGCTGGACTGAGGTGTTGCTATGGTCCATAAGGATTTCATTTATTTCTGCA